TGTATTTGGTTGGGTTGGTTTGTGCATTGTATAAGAGAAAATTAGCAAGAAGCTCTTCTGAGGAAAATGCCTGGAGTATATGGTCATTATTTCATATGCTGGTGTCAAAGTTGAGGGTACGTGCTTTGGCTAATGCCAGAGAGACTAAATTAACCCAGGTACCCGATTTGTTGTTTTGGGGTGAGTGTTTGGGTAAATTGGAGATAAGTGCATTGCTGTAGAATTTCTTGGCTAGGAGAGATTTGACTGTGGCATTTGATTGTGTATTCATGTTCTCAGGGTTGAGGTCTGCTAAGTTGTCTTGGAGTTTGTCTGGGGTATGTTCTGAGGTCAGAGAGGCTATCAGGTTGCTAGGGGGGCTCGGCTAGAGGTCAGTTTGTTTTGATTGTCAATCATCATGGGTACTGACTGGGGCGTAGGAATTATCTGTGTTTGGTTGTTGTTAATTTCATTGATCAGTGCTGGTTCAGATTGGGGTATGAGAATTGGTTGTATTTGGTTGTTATTGTTGTTGTTTTGGTTAGATAATATCATAGGGGTAATTGTTGGGGATGAACTGGGGAACCCACTTTTATTAGAATTTTGTGAATCAAGAGGTGGGGGGTAGTAGTGGAGGTGAACAGAGTTGCGTCTTGTACAATTTTCTTCCTTTTGTGAGGAGGCGGGTTGTTTGGAGTGTTTGGGTATACTGTGATGTTTTGGGCATCTGTAGTCCCGGCAGGGTCCATCAGTGCCATGCTTATTATTGAGGGGATGAGAAAGGGTTCGAAGGATTCTGGAGTAGCAAGAAGTGTGTCTCTGTCTCTTTTCAATGTGGTGGGTATTCCCGGGACACTTGGTAATGTTTATTTGCCTTCTGGCAGTAGTTTAATTATAGTTTCTTTATAATTAGTTCGTGGGCAGTTTTAAAATTTTGTTTGTTTTGTTTTCCTTATGATTTACCGATTTACAGGAGAGAGTTGAAATAATTCTTTTATGTTAATATAGTTCTTGGTATTGTGAAGATAAATATTAGCTATAAATATCTTCATTCATGCCCAAATGCTTGCATTGTGATATTAGATAAACTATTAGAAAAAATTAGATTATATGCTCATTTAAGTATAGTTGAATTAATAAACCATTTGCAGCACAAAGAGATTAATATTTCAAAGTACTCACATAAACATATATGCTACTAGAAGTTTATAGCAGAGAAAACTATATACTAGTATCACAATAACTTATTTAAATCTAGCTTAAAATTGCTTAATAAGTACAAGAGTCAAAATTTTTATAAATGCTTAGAAATACAAGATGTAAAGTTTGTATTTCTTGTCTTTATTATCTTCCTACTAAAAAAAATTAATAATCTTAATATTAATATTAATAAGATTTATATGAATACTATTTACAAAATAGTATATAGACAATATAAACTTTATTGTATTATTGCTAATATTGAAGGAACTAGATTTTCTATCACCTATCTTATAATGGATACAACAAAGACAAGCAATATAGATAAAAAGTGTATTAATATATTAGTAAAGTTTTTGAAATTAGTGAAGTCATATAATATAAGTCCAAAGTTTGTATTTACTGATAAAGACTTTGCAGAGATTAATGCTATATCCAGAGTGTAAGGTATATTGGTGATACAATTATATTTCTGGCACATGAACTGGGCAATAAAATATAAGCTTGAAGAGAAGAGAAAATCTTCAAAATATAAATTAATAAATATAAATTACAATTCTAATCAAGCAGCTATTAAGTTTAATTTTATCGATTTTACCTTTTATCTATCAGAGGCTGACTGTAATTTACAAACATATATTATTGTCTACCTATATATAGAGAAGTAATTTTAGAGTTAATACAAAATTACTTTGACATGTATCTATTAATACTAGTGAATGCCAAAGCATAGATAGATATAATTTTGATATAATTTTATATAATTATTATATATATATATATTTTTACCTTTATAATAGAGTTATTATATATTATATACTATTTATTAACTATAGGTATTGGTAATGTTTAATTAGTTTAGCTCTAATATAAAAAATTATAATTAATTTTTTAAATCAAACTAATAAATATATAATTATACTTGAAAAATATAATAATATCAGAGGCTATTAGGTAAAGAGCAATAGGGAAGATATATCAAATTTGTACTAAACATAAATTAAAATTACTTTGGCCTATTTGTAGACTAATTAGTACTTGTCAGAATAATACT